TTTACCTGCATAGAGACAAAATGTCAAAGCGCGTAAAGCCGCGTCGCCGTTTAACGGATGAATATTGGTACGGAACCCATAGGAATGTAAACAAAATTTATACCTATTGTTAAAATCTCTATAAAATATCTGACAGTTTAATGTGCATATGTCTAATGATCATTTTCGCCTGTCCGCCAAAAGGCATTTTTTTTTACTTTTTTCATTAGATCTCCGTAACCGCTAAACCTGCCTTCATGAAAATTTGATCAATTCTTCATCTTGTCAATACAAGTAAAATGTTTTTTGAAATATTCAAATCGGACACTCCGTTCTCTTAAAAACTGAGTTACCATTTATGTCACTTTTTGCCTCGTATCTTCGGAACGGTTAGGCCTACCTTCGCCAAAAACTAATCAGCACGTCTCCTTATCAATACCAATCGAATGATTTTTGAATTATTCAAATCGGTTGATCGGTGTTCCCGAAATCGTCGACGAAAATTTGTATCCGCACACACACACGCACACACACATACATTTTTTATAAGGTATGCCAAAATACTCAGAAACCTTTGAAACGTAAAGATATATAAAACTTTTCATTTTCGATTTTTTTGTGATTGCTATAACTTGCCCTACGGGAAGTTAATTAGACTGTGACGGGATTTATATGGACAAACCAAAGCGATGCTCAAAGATACATATATAATCTTCAGTTGTAACCTAGGTTCAAGTAACGCCGCAAATTTAAAATTATTTAAAGTATATAGGTGAGCATAAGAACTTTAGCTAGAAATATAATTAAAATCCGAATTATTTTCCGAAAAATTTTTTTTGAAAATTAAAAAAAAATTCATTAAAAAATATTTTCCCAACAGCAATTGCTTCGTCAACATAAGCAGAAAGCTTTTCGAATCATTCAAATCGGATGCTTGATTTTCTCAAAAACTGCCATTTTTTGCACATTTTGCTCGGCAAAATCAAATCGAACTTCTTCTCATCATTACGAATTGAATGTTTTTGGATCATTCAAATCGGATGCAAAAACTCGATTTCTCAATATCTCTGAAACGGCTGGACCTGCCTTTGCCAAAAACTAATTAGCGCATCTCCGTATCAATAAGAATTGAATTTGAAGCATTGACCGATAGCAGCAACTGCTGCAGTGAAAGGCAGATGGACCTCAAGGCTTCAAGCACGATAGCTCGGATTGCCCATATTGTTTGGGCGAAATCGAAGATGCAAAGCACGCATTCTTCGTGTGCCTGCAACTTAGTGTTCTACGGAACAATGTAGAAGAGATATTGAGGCGAAGAATTATTCCAAATACTGTTGTAGAAGTGATGCTCACAACTGAGGCTGCTTGGAACACTATGAACGGATTTGCGAAAGATGAGCTAATTGACCTGCGATCTATGGAAAAAAAGAGCGAATGGGTCTTTGCTCCTAAGATAAATATAAAATCAGTGCAAGAATGATAACATTCTAGATCCTCCCTCCACGACCCTCGGGATAGAGATAAATACATTGATATATTTGATTAAAATTGACCTGCTGAACAAATTGAGTAAAAATAGACTAAGAAAAGTCACCTAACTGCTGCGCCAAAAATACGGAACGGGCAAATGGGAAAAAACTTCCTTAACTTCACATTGATAGCTCTTCAGAAAAAGCCTGAATCAGTCTGAATTTGCAGAAATCCTTATAAGACGATTTAAAAATAAGATTGTGCACTATATGAGTGAAAATCAGTTTGTATTTAGATAAGAAAGAAGCATCATTGGACTACTGAGAATAATGTCAAAAGGTGTCTCGACGTTAACAAAGATAACTGCTTCTGTGTCATAGATGGGCAGAATGTTTTCGATAATGTCAAATGAAGCAGGCTGATGAGGATTTTGAAAACTAATAACATAGATTTAAGCATAGCTGGGCATTAACTCGTTAATCCGTTAATCGTTAATTAACGAAGTTAACATTTTGATTAACGGATTAACTTTTAAGTTAACTTTTGAAAATGTTAACGGACACGTTAACTTCCGTTAAAATGCCAGAAGTCCGTTAATCGTTAATCCAATGCCCAGGACCGTGCTTGGCCAGCGTGCAGTGCGTGCACCGCACGCAGGCGGCCGCCTTTTGAGACGGCCGAGGGGCGGTCAAATGAAATAAAGAACAAATTCAAAGACGGCCATAACAAAAAATGGTCGAAATAAATAGCTGTTGCATTAAAAGTCTACTGAATTAAAAGGCGGCCAAATTAAAAGACTGTTGGATTAAGAGGCGGCCAAGCTCAAAGTCCGCTGAACTCATTCGCTGCCGTAAAGTCCGCTGTATATATCTAAAAGACCAAAATTACAAAAGTAAAACGTTTGTAATGGTTTTTGAATTTTTAAAATCAATTCACTAATTAAAAATTTGAGACTTTTTTGAAAATTCTAAAGGCAAAACTAAGCAGCACGAGTGCTTATCGAATTTACGAATTTTGACGATTTTTCAAATGGGATTGTGCATTTTTGAGAAAAGTTCCACTAAAGATGAAATTTTGACTCACGTAAAAAAGCGCCGCTCATTTTTGCAATCTTTGATAGTACAGATTTTAAAAATTAAAATGACTTAATGTGGGTCGAAATATTTAGTTATCTTAGAGACCATGATCACTATCGCCAAAAAAGTTTTATAAATATCATCGTAAAGCAATATTCACCAATTAAACACGAAGAAACGTACCGACCGATCTCTTAGAAGTAATCAGCACGATTCCTAAATGATATCTTTCAAACAGTTCCTGAATTTTTAAAATCGATGCAGAATTTTTGGCTAAAACGTGTACAATAAATTTCATATTTTTCTGTTGATTAGAAACAGCTTGGCCGATCGTCGCACAAAACTGACAGGCGCTAGTCATTATCTAGTTACATCAAATGACTTTTATACTTTTGAATTGGATTTAACCGTTTTTGAGAAAACGTTGCCGAAAATTCAAAAATCGGCTTTCAAACGATTCAGAATGACTTAAAATGTCGAGAAAACTTGAAAATTACAAGACGATTTTTTTCGTGAGAACATATTGGATATTTTCCTATTATACTATTTTTAAGGGCGGCCATTTATATGCTCGCACGCAGGCGGCCACATACCCAGACACGGCCCTGCCAATTATTACTATTTACCGCACGGCACAGCTTTAGCCAATGCCTTATTAAATGACATAGAGAAAAGATTTGGACCACTCGTGAATGATGAACAGTGCCAACATGTTCAAAAGACTTGTTCAACGATGGTGCATTCCTCGGGGAACAGATATTCATAAATCAATTTATTAAATACAATACTGCTATACCCTCAAGCGCTGCAGTTGAACGTTTGTTTTCCACGGGTAAAGACATTTTGACACCAAAACGAGCCTCGCTTTCAGACGAGAACTTCAACATGTTAATGTTCATGAAGAGAAATATGCGCCTAATACCCGACGCTTAACCCGTCGCGCGTTTCCTATTTTTCGCAAAAAAACTCTTTCCCTTTATTTAAAAAAAAATTCTTGTAAAAACAATATGCAATCATAAAAACAGAAAGTTGACCAATAGCGTTATTAACACGGTGTGTGCATAAAGCGCGTCGCGCCATTAAGGGGTTGAATTACACATTTGAATTATACAAGTATTTTGTTTTATTCATAACCTGTTAACTTCCAGAACCTAAACCAGTAAGTTTTTTAAGTTCACTAACGCAACAATATAAAAATGTAATTTTACACATATTAACGGATTAACGATTAACGTTAACTTGCGTTAATTATTCCGAAATGTAACGCTTTAACGTTTAACGAAGCTAACTTTTTTTGTAGCGGATTAACGATTAGCGAAGTTAACATTTTGATTAACGGTGCCCAGCTATGGATTTAAGCAACGTAAGCTGATCTAGAGACTGTGTTTGAAACAGAAAAAAAGGATTCAAGTGAACCAGGGTGTCAGGGGAATAGGTCAAGAAATTTGGTAAGGACGTTGCATGTCAACGAACTCGTTCAACTTATAGGGTAAATGGGTCGTCAACAGAAACCATTGAAGATACTGCAAATTTGTCGTTTGGAGGAAGAAGAATAACCACTACAAAGTAGGCAGATGATCTCGTTTTGATATCAAAAACCAAACCGAGCTACATACCATGATGAGCAGAATCCAATACGGGATGGATATTAACATCGACAAATCTATGTGATGAGAATATCGAAACTAGACTAAACTGAGGATGGCGGTAGGAAACAAAGAATTGGAATACGTGAATTATTTTAAATACTCGGGAAGCAAGCTGACTACAGATGGATGCTGCAAGAGAAAGAACATGGCCAGAATTGAAAATGTTTGAATACACAAACACACAAGCTCTAACATATACATATTGCCGATTTTTGGTATCAAACAATTTAGAATGACTTTAAACGTCAAGAAAGATAACAAAATCGAATATTCTGGCAAAAACTTTCTCAGATTTTTTAAATATAAATTTTATAGCCATTGATATATTAAAATTGCTATTGAATCAAAATTAAAAGCAAATTGGTATTAATTTTTTTTTCTCTTACTATTCTTTCTATCTCTCTGAAACAAATTAACAATATACAAATAAATATATGCTCGAGTAATAAATTGATTTGGCTCATTGCTTATGTGTTTTTTATTGGATTCCATTTCTAAATTAGCTGAATATTACCTCTTTTCTTACCTACTATTTATAATGTTTAAGAGAATTTATATAAAATAATTGGAAGTCTTATAAAAATGTATTCAATAAAATTTATATTATATAACTTAAGTGTACATAATATACATATATATATATATATATATATATATATATGTATATATATATGTATGTATATATAATGTTTACAATAAAAACTGTCACCACGAAATTGTGCTAAATAAAGGAAGAAATATTTGAATAATATTGAATTGAATATATACTAATTCATTCAATAATTTCAAACACATGCTTTTATCATGTTTTTCCTAAATCGAGTGATTATATTTCTGTTTTTTTGAGTTCTTCAAATGTTGGTACATGCACATCGAAAATTTTACCACCATTAACCAGCCATACGGCACCGTTAGCAGCTTCTTGAAGCATGCGTATGAATGCATTTCCAACCAATTCGGGTCTGCAGAATGATATTATGTTTATATAAATTAACTGATATTAAAATTATATAAAAATATTAAATATTAGTTTTAATAAAAAATAGTTATATTAATTAACTTATTATTAGTAATAAGTGGGTACTTACTCTTGGTCTTCTAACAAAGCTTTTGGAATTTGTTCATACGGAATGTGCTCTTGTACAATTCCATACTTATTTATGCCATGTCTCAGAGGTGTATTGGTCCCTCCAGGACATAGTAATAGATATCTGATCCCGGTTGGACTACAATTTTCAGTTTGCTGCAAGTTTTTTACAAATTGGATTCATCATATGAAATTTCCATGATTAAAACAGAAAAAAAGCATTTCCAACACAGATAATTTGTAATTAGTTCAAAAATATTCATTACAACGTTATTATTACTATGAGATAAAAAAACTAAGAAGTTTCTTCACGTGTATTCATTGATAAAACGTTTATTATTATGAGAGGAAAAATAATAATTTAAGAAATCATAGGCAGCTTTTAAATTATATACACAATACATATAATATAAACTACAACTATATAACATAAAGTAAAAACTAACAAGTTGGTATTGGTATTTTGCCTTGAGGCAAGTTACATGAAATTCCCGATATGTGTAATTAATCGACTTGATCAATAAAATATACATTAGTTTATAAGTGATTAAAAGTATTCCGAGTGGATTTATTACACATAATTGAAAACGAACGAGCACGTTAACACGGAATATTTTCTAAAAGCAAATTTTCACGCTCAATAATTGAAAACGAACGAGCACGTTAACAAGGAGTATTTTCTAAAAGCATTTATTCACGTTCAATTTAAATTTATTTATTTTACACCATCTAGATAATCGATTAAAGTCATCCTGGACCGCAAACAAATCACCTTCGTTTCTTATGCCTCTGTATATTTTAGAATCATCCGCAAACCAAAAAAACTCAGATGAGAATATACAAAATAGCAATGGTCCAAGATGAGATCCTTACGGCACGCCTAAAGAGACAGTACATTCATCAGATATGGAGTCATTGGTTCTCACGCATAGCTTTCTACCTCTCAAATCGGAATCAAACCAATCATATAACCGACCAGAAATGTCATATTTTTTAAGCTTCATCAAGCACGCCATGATTAACCTAATCAAAAGCTTTATTGAAGTCTGTCTTTACAGCGCGTGTTCCCATTTTGTTCTCAAGATGATGCATTACATATTCTACAAATGTCATGAGATTGGAAGTTGTAGAATTACCCTTTATGAGCGTTGTTGATTATTCAGGGTGCTTCTAAACCAAAACTCTATTCTACTAAAAATTATTTTTTCAAATAATCTAGGTGGAGCTGATTGAATATAAATTTGTCAGTGATTACATACGAGTATATTACTTCACGCCTAATTTGAATACAGAGACAGCATATACGTTTTCCCAAACAACTGAAAACATACCCCATTTTAAAGATTTATTCAGGATAAAACTTAAAGGTTTGCATAACTTAGATGAGCATTCTTTTAGTAAAAATTTTGGTATTCCATTTAGCCCAAATCCCATTAACTGTTCAACGACATTGAAGCAATTCATCAAAGCTGATTAAAATTTTACTTAGGTTAGTGTTGCCATTGGACAGACCATTTAATAGTCGTCAAATATATGAGAATATATGTTCAGGAATATAAAGAATTGGCTTTTATCCTCCCTTCAGCTCGAAAAGTATATATAACTAGCTGACCCGGCAAACGTTGTTTTGCTAAGTAAGGTATATTCTAATCAATTTCTAGAGAATCAAAAATATTAAGTCGGTCAGATATTTTTTCACCTTCGAACGGTCGGAAAGGTCTGGCTAGACCACCATTCATTTTACATGCATTTATATGGGATAAATGAGTTTTTGGTGTCTTATATATTAACGATTATTAGTAGTAAATATTTATAGTTTTGATTTTTTTTTTCTTACCGTCTTTTGCATGTGTTGAGCTTGCTTATAATAAAAATATTACATATTATATTATATAAAAAAAATCAAAAAATATAAAAAAATCGTTGCTTTTTTGTTAATTTTTCTGTTTTATATCAATGAAAAATTTATTCTTTTTCGGCGCCTTTGAAATGAATGTGAAATTCAAATGAAAACGAAATGAGGTGCGTCGCCTTTGAAATGAGCTATAAAACTCAAAGTGAAAATATAATTTCACTACAGCTTTGCCAAAAAAAAAAATTTCGAACGCAGTACGGGTAGAAAAATTTTTGATAATGTTTGCATTACTCATCCGATTTTCAGTGTTTGCGATTACCAATAAGTTTGGTAGGTTTTCAAGAAACTCTCGTCATGAAAATACTAACATTCATGTTACAACACATAGCAAAGAATATATACAACCATAGATAAACAAGTATACAACGCAGTTTGAATAGAAAATACCATGAAAAAAGACAAAATACTGGTTTACATATATCAAAAAGCGTATATTTCATACAAAATGTATGGGTGGTCTGGACAGAACTTTCCGACCGTTCTAAGTATAAAAAAGTTAATATCCTTATATTTATCCTTCTGTACATTTTTTCGTCCTGATTTTTTCAATGATCGACAGCTAATGAAAATTTAGGAAAAGTCAAGAAATTTCAAGTCGATAGGATTACTAGAAGTTTTTTTTTTAATTGAAGTCGAAAAAAGTCTGGCCAGACCACGCCGACCGACGGAGGGTTAAGTGAATAAGGATGTGTTGTTTGAATGATACATAAAATGAGGTATTATAAAAACAATAAACCCCCATTAGTTTGTCTATATTTTGTCAATACAATCAAACCAGTGGCGGATCCAGGGGGGGGGTCACGGGGGTCATGACCCCCCCCTGAGCCTGTTGTAGGACTTAGATAAAACACTAATTTAACAACAAAATTACTTCATAATGATTTCATTCACCAAACACATTATATAACTTAAATATTTAACTGATTGTAGACGAATGGCGGAGTCAAAATCCCTAAAATTTAAGGATTTTCCAATCGTATTGCGAATAGCTGTTTTATTACAGTTTAGGAAAAAAAATTCATTCAAAATTCAAAAAATTAAACTGACTGTGAGTGGCCCTTACGCATGAACTTTCTGTAATATTAACATCTGTAAATGTTAATCAATATGTGGGGTGGTCCCACATATAAAAATCAAGACACTATAAATGAAAAATAAAGTTTATTACAAAATTATAATAATTACAAATCTTCTTGGTTGAATTCTGGTATTCTTGGTATTCCTCGCTTGGACTCCGTAGTTTTTCTAGGTATTGCCTGCTCGACCAGTAGAAGAGAAAAGAGAGCGAGGATGGTAACTGCTTTGGTTATATACCTGGTAGCCTGACCCCCTCCACATATTAGGGTCCCTAATAGTGTGGAGGCTAGTGTAGCTCTTTACTACTATTTTCAATAGTAGGAGAGCTAGTGTCGCTGCAATACCCCCCTGGCGAGTCAATAAAATTGTATTAATTTTATTGGATGCGAGGACGAACTACCCGTCCAAACCGTGTTTTATATTGATTGGAGGTATGTTCAGTAGCTCTGGATGGAGTTGGACTCGTACTTTGGTCGTCTTCTGTGGTAAAAGCGGGCTTGACACGATCGATGGATACTCTTACATTGCGTTCTCCAATTTTAATTTTCAATGTTTTGGAGTTTCGATCTATGACTTCATACGGACCTCTGTATGGACAAGAAAGCGCTGGTCGCAGAGCGTCTTCCCTAAGGAATACAAATTTTGCATTACTTAGTTCTTTATGTACAAAAGTCTTTTTCGATCCATGTGCAGATGTAGGAGTTGGATGTATTGTTTCGAAATGTCGATGTAGATTTCTCAAGAATCGCTTGTTTGTATCCTCCTTGCGTGTGCTAATTAAAAATTCGCCAGGTAGACGAAGCGGTTCTCCGTATACTAATTCGGCGCTGCTGCTTTTAATGTCTTCTTTAACAGAAGCTCGAATTCCTAATAAAATATTGGTAGGAGAATCCATCCATGACGGGTCTGCATGGCACATGAGGGCTGTTTTCAGTGGCCTGTGAGCATTTTCAATCAATCCATTCGATTGCGGGTGATATGCTGTAGTAGGAGTATGGGAAATTCCTAGTAGTTTGGTTGCGCTTGAAAAACAGCTGAACAAATTGCCGTCCTTGGTCGCTAGTTACTTGAGATGGAACACCAAAGCGTGAAATCCAAGAATACAAGAAAGCCCAGGTTACACTTTCTGCGGTAATATCTGATAGAGGAAAAACTTCAAGCCAGCGTGTGTAACGTCTATAGCGGTGAATAGGTATTTAAAACCTTTTGATTGTGGAAGTGGTCCGACAATGTCAATGTGAACATGCAGAAATCTGGCGGGTGGCACTTTGAACTCTCCAAGTGGTGTGACTATATGCCGACCAATTTTGGAGCGTTGACATGAGATGCAGCTTCGAGCCCAGGTTCTACAATCCTTGCGAATGCCAGGCCAAACAAATCTATCCGTGATGAGTTTAGTTGTGGTTTTTTTACCTGGATGAGATAGATTGTGCAGAGTATTAAAAATATGTCGTCTATGTTCAGCAGGAACATAAGGACGTAATCGATTTTGAGATATGTCGCAATATAATTGTTCTTTGTTTCCTGGAATAGCGATGCGTTTCAGGTTGAGCAGTATCTGATTTTAAGAGCGTTACCAGTTCTTCATCTTCGTCTTGAGATTTAGCAATAACGGAGTGATCCAAAGGCGATGTTATGGCTTCTGTTCCTCTTGAGAAAGCGTCGGCTACAATGTTTTGTTGTCCACTAACATAGCGAACATCTGTTGTAAACTGCGACAAGAAACTTTAATTGATTTAACTGTATTGGCGGCAGCTTGTCCTTTCGCTGGGCAAAGGCGTGAATTAAAGGTTTGTGGTCAGTAAACCAAATGAAATGTCTCCCTTTCCAGTAAGCTTCGAAAATGTTGCACTGCTTCGTATCCTGCCAAAAGTCTCGATAATATGCTGGCCATAGTTGTTGTTTCTCAGATAGTTTTTTTGAAAAGAAGCCCAAAGGTTGCCAAGTGCCATTGATGTACTGCTGTAATACTGCACCGATAGAATGGTTAGATACATCGCTAAATAATGCTGTTTGAGCATTTGGAACTGGGTGTGCTAGTAATGTTGCTTTAGCCAATTCTTTCTTACAAGTCTCGAAGTTATCTTGAAGCTGTGGAGTCCAAGAAATTGGTTGTGATCCAGATTTGGTAGATCCTGAGAGCAGCTTGTGTAGCGGAGCAAGA